AAGATGCAGTCTGCAGCGTAATTACACTCACACTCACATCATGGGTGATTTCAAAGTATTTTGTCTGGAAACCTCTGTCAAGATCACAGCACAATTAGAAGATGACCTACAACAAGTGTTCCTCATTACATTCACATCACTTTGCCCAGTCGGCTCATAACAGGAAACAGGTCATCTGTACTGGATTTTGTGCTTACCAACATACGATGGATGTGTTGGTCCTAGACTGCCCGTTATGTCGCAGTGGTCACGCCGTCATCAGTTTCAACTTTGTCTGCTATGCAGAATATCGGAATGAGAACGATGAGTCTGTGCGAACCACCACTATCTGCGATCAAATACCTTAACTCGCCAGAGATAAAACTTGGTCGTTCCTTGCCGAAGAACCCCGGAAAGTCGTCTGGCTCGAGTTCGTCAACGAACTCAATCAGGTGATTGCAAAGGCTTCAGAAATATGCGTCTGCAATAGGTGTACATCAGTTTATTTCGTTAGGTGCGGAGCTCGAAAATGGATGACAGTACGCAAAGCAGCATGGCAAGTGTAGAAAGAAGCTCCAGCACCAGCAACTTGGGACAACTAGGTAACCTAACATAATCACTGCATTCAACTACTCAGAGAAGACAAATCCGCATTTTAGCAGAAGCTGGCAAAACTTTTAGAGCTAACCACAAATCGCAAGCACGTCAATAGCCTTCGAAGTGTGAGGCAAGAATTTCCTCCACTCAGGACTGCTGATGGCCCAACAAGAACGGGTGTGGCAGCAGCAAACGCACTACGGATGCAATATGCCCCCACGTTTCAGAGGGTCTTGCCACTAAGAAATCTGCCAGCTCTTGTCGTCTCTCCGCTAGGACTCTCCCACACCACTTTTACCGCGGAGGCTGTATTGCAAAAGCTGACCTCCCTACGCAAACACTCGCCGGGTGTCGACACCATTCGTCCAGAAGCACTGGCAGGTCATTGAATTCATAGCTGCCGATGCACTGGTGTGTTATCTGGGAAACTGTAACACATCATCACGTCTGAGCACCACGGCTGCCGTCGACAGCGGTCACGCACAGCGCATTTGCTAATCCTACATAATAGTTGGACCCAGTCAGCTGACGCTGGAGAAGATGTTGTTGTGATCTAGCTGGATTTTTCGTAGGTATTTGATCGTCTAGACCAAGCGTGTCCAAACTTTTTACAAGCAAGGCCACACCTCGTGAGATGAACATATGTCGAGCCTTAATCAGTCTGATATGCAGCTAATACGAAAAATTGCAGGTGTACGAAAATAGTTCAAGCCTGAATTCACTATTTCATGATGAGGCTGCGGGCGAATTGTAATGTTAATGCGGGCTGCATTTGGCCCGCGGACCGGAGTTTGGACACCCTAGGTCTAGACCATTAAGTACTATTTTTCAAGATCCCGCATTACGTGGTCGGCGACTCGCTTCTAAGCTACATTACCAACGTTCTACTTCAACGGCAATTGGTCATCAGAGTTTGGAGCTCTGCATCTGACACCATACATGTCGAGTGTGGTGCCGTAAGGCTCATTTCTAGGTCCACATTCGTTTTTGGCGTTTATTTAATGACCTTGCACAGGGAATCGCTTTAAACTTCTTAATGTTTGCAGATGATATCAAGCTTTGGTACAGAATTCAGGTGAAAGCCGACAAGCATCTGTTTTAGAGTGATCTAGATACAGTATATTAATGGTCAACCCAAAATTTACTGCATTTCAACGTAAGTCAATGCAAGGTACTTTCCATCCGACATTAGTGCAACTATCCATACCGGCTTGAAACTAATGTACTGCAATAATCAGTTGTCGAATTTGACTTGTGTGTCCTGTTTCAAGATGAGTTGCGTTGCCCCAGGCAAGCCGTGAAGGCCTACATACTGAAAACCACCACGCCTGGCTGTTGCGACGGGCGTTTTGACGAATAAACAGCTCCATACTTCGACAAATGTTCAGTGCGTATGTTCCCCGTTTAGTCCAATACGCTACTCAAGCCTGGCATCCATGGTTGAAACACGACCTTACTGCACTGGAGCAGCCACAAAGTCGGGCATCAAAGAACGTACTTGGAATGTGCAGTCACTCGTACGAGGAGAGGCTGCAACGATTAGGGGTTTTCAGCAGACGCTATGGCAGACTAGGAGGCGACCTGATTTTGACATACTTGATTCTGAGAGACCCACATCATGAGTGCTGCGCTTTAATGCGACTCAGCACCAATACAAACCTGAGAGAGCATTAAATGAAACTCGTAGAACAGTAAAGCCGTCGGGATTGCCGCAGAAATTTTCTTCCTTTCGTGTCTGTCAGCCGTGCAATGCTCTCCCAGATTCAATTATCTCTGCACCGACACTAGCAGTATTTAAAAGACGGTTGAATGATGCACTCATCCACTTACAGTTTGTCACTTCTCAACACGTCTTCATCCTACTGCTGTAGTTTACCATGGGTTTATCTGATGTTACCTGTGGATGCCATGAATCTAGGTGGATTGCAGGACTACAGCGAAGCAAACGATAAGTCCTTATTTTCATATCCAAAGTATGAGTTGTTTTACTATGCTTTTCGTTATCATTATTATTAATTAGATATCCCCGACAAATATCCAAAGCGACTTGTAAAGCAACGTTTCTTAAACCGTATAAAGTCATTGTCCATGTAAGGAAGGACGAAGGGGCGAGAAGCGCAATTTTTGCTGTACGAGACAACGGTTTACCGCACTCCCACCCGAGCTGAAGTTATGTTTCCGTACCATAACAGAACATACATGGGAAATGTCCACCCATTACCTCTGCATGATGTATGATTTTAACTTTGTGAATCATTCCTATCCATTTGCCTGCATTGTTTCGCTTCCATAAATCGCATGCTGACGAGCTTGGTGCTGTTCGCATGCTCCTGATTTGCTTGATAGTGGTTGCATTACATCGCTTGCGATTTTCTCCTGGATGGACCGACAAAAGTGGCCCACTTTTCGCCTTGCCTCAGAACCCGTTCTTTCTTTGCTGACGATCCGATCTAAACGTGTTCCTTGGGGCAGACGCTACGCCGTCTGATCTCGTTTATGATGCCTGTATCTGTTTCTGCCGTCTGCACTTTTTGTGCCTTTCTAGTATTTCTTGTTTTCATTACCTTCCGTGCACCTACATTGTGACATCTATTCAACTTCTTTAGGTTACAAATGAGATTTTGGTTCATAATATGATGTTGAACCATAAAATAACATGGAAATTTGATGAGTTCAGTTGTCGAAATTCCTGTCACTGTGTCATTCTCATTAAATAACGGTTTAGAAAACCTAGGGTACAGCATGAAGTGGAACATGGATAAACTGTGGCTGGAAATTGTGGAGGGCACATTAGCAGGTTTACAACGTTGGCGGCTGGAAATGCTTGACCAAGTGATGATCATCTTTTAGTCCAGGACTGTGCTATGTCGAAACGACGGTCGACTACTCGTGTGGCAATTCTCGAGGTCCCCAGTTGATCAACCAAAAGCAACTACCTGATCAAGCTTTTCTGCCACGTCGTCAACTGACTATCTGGTGGGCTTGTTGAATTAGCTGAAGGAGTGGTGATTAAGAACATGAGTGTCAACGGTTCGAACAACTGTTCAAAGCGGTATCAGAACGTCTGTTGCAAAACAGCAAGTAGCAAAATTCAGTATTGGAGGAGGTCGTCCTCCTACGAAATACTTGGTCAATGGGGTTGAACTCCACCTGTATGTAGCCAGGTTGACCTAGGCGTCGTACACTTCGGCTTTACACTCCAGCGACAACTGGAAGAAGGCCGCAGGCGGAGGTTGCCACATGTTATGGTTAATACAACGTTCTTTCGGAGCCCTGACGGACGGCATCTTTAAGAGACTGTTCTCGTCTTTCGTTCGTCTCATCTGGAATAGTGCGACCAGGCTTGTCCGCCCTGCCTCGTCAGGGACAAAAGGGAGCTAGAGAGGGTTTTACGTGTGGGTACTAGGTTAGTCGAGGGATTACGGGGACGGACGTACCCCGAGCTTCTATTTAGTTTGGGAATGATTTCAATGCACCACCGAAGGTTTAGAGGAGACCTAATCCTAACCTACCGTATCTTAACTGGGAAGGTTGGTCCAGATTTATCTGAGCTATTCATTCTCGCTAGATTGTCTTTTCTACGCGGTCACTCCTTGAAGCTTGACAAACCGGGTCCGATCGGAGTAGGGCGGAAATCCGGCTGTCACGCGGAGTCATCGAGCGTTGGAATATGCTTCCGGAAAGTGTTATCAGGGAACCTAGGGTTTAGGGGGTTGAGCAGCAACTTGACGCTTTTGGGTGGCAACAGGAAACCTTTTCATTTTCCTGAGTAACTCGCATCTTCGTACTTCGACTTTCTTTGCTCCACTTTTCTTTACGCATTGGTATTATTTTCTTATTTCAAGTGCACTTCCTTAGTCTGTACCTTCGATTTCTCTTCCTATCCTTCGCTTACTTCACGTGACTGCCACAGCAGGGACTGCTAGGGCAGGAAACTTTGGCATTAACTGAGTGGCCAGGGTGCAATACGGGTGTTCCGTTTTAGATCCATCAATAACTGAGCACTTCATCAATTCCTGGCTCAACGATCCACTCAAAATGGAACACTCACGGGATTCTCCTATCGTTCCAGTCCCACCCGAACTTGAACTTGGACCTTATTCGATCCGTGACCTCGCCGTATATAAGAGACAATGCATCATCAACGACAGTCACATAGGACCCATGTTAGTGCAAATAATGTTTCTGTGTTCAGTATTGTTATGTGCTAGTTGTCATAAAAATTCTCACCACCCTCATTCTAACGCACATAATGAGTATTATTATTCGCAGGAAAGTGCAAATAGAGGAAAAAATAAAGCCAGGAAATGTTTAATACACTTATAGCGTTGAAAACTTTTATGTATGCGAGTTGTTGAGATATATATTATAAGATTTCGTCTTCTATAAGCCACTCTTTTTTGGATTTCTCCTTTTCCCTTCAGACAGATGATGTTATCGGTGATCGATTCAATTACTTATATTTCATTCCTTTGATCATACTGGGATCATTTTTCATGCTCAATCTTGTACTGGGAGTGCTTAGCGGGTAAGTGCACGGCATTGTAACCTTTATTTTACGTTACTATTGACAACATTGGATTTTTCCACCAGCTGGCATATGTTTGATATAGCTTTACGGGAGCCTTGTTCAAAATTCCCAAACCATAGTATTGGTGTCTACTGAGTTAAACCCTATGCAGACCTGGTTATTAGATACGTATCTGTTGTGAAACGCCGTAGGACGCATCGCTAGACTATCCAGTGGTATATAACCCAGAAGCACCATGGAGGTTTCCGAACTGGTCGGCATTAAGCTACACGCGTCAAAGGTTACCTGTTAAATCAAAGTGATAATAACGAAGGACTATGAAAATGTAACGTTTTCTTGACAAGTCCAGTACGACTACGGTATAAATGATTACAATAACAAGAAGAACGTATGCCAGGAAGAATAAAGTAGAAAATTAGACCTTTAAGTAACACCGATATTTTCACCTGAACACTTAGGCAGGTTTCCCGCACCAGTATATTGTGGCGGGGGTTGACAGGCATACAGTTTCGTTCGCGCTATTTCTTCCTTCTAATCATACCCACTATAGCACGTAATCTAAAATGGACAACATGTCATCAAAATGTGTTTTGAAAAACCTTACTGTAGAGTCAAATTTACTTGATTTGGAAGAAGGTTCCATGTTCGGGATATTCGAAGGGAGAAAAGTTATCTGCAGCCAAATCGACTGAATGGCGTGGCCAGTTTGGACTGTTGGCTTCTGAGGTTACTGTTGTGGCTGAGCCGCAAAGCATCACAGCAGGTTTCTTTAGGAGCCGCCAGTAGCAGGTGCACCAAGCTACATTCCTATAACGGACGCCGATATTCCCTGCCACATAAAGAGCTTGCAATCTGAGTCGTCTGGAGAGGTGCAACAACCCCATGACGATTTTGGTCGCACTACACTCAATGGTCAAAGGTCAATGGTATATTGCGGAAGCTTGCCGAAGGTTGACATGTCTCACCGGATGATCGGTTAGGGGTAAGCAAAACAGAGGCAAAAATGGCAATAGGGAATAGTGAACAACTGGAAATTAGAACTTGCCGATTACATCATTCCCCTCCGTGTTATGTCCTATCCAAACTTACCATCCGTGGTTTCCGGACAGAAATGAAAGTGAGCTGGTTTGTTTGTGTTTTCTTGCTTTTTGTATGGGTCGTTTGGATTACGTCATGTGGTGTAGTGTGGCCAGTGCACTTTTGACACGTACTTTAAACATGGCTAACCTGGGGGCTGAAATAACCGGTTCTGAAAGAGTATACCACATGTGGCACACACGCAGCGAGAAGAACTTCGACACTCCAACCGACTGTTTTGTTCTGCCAATTTGAGCTGAGTTGAGTTGGTTTTTGTGACTCAACTCCAATAAGTGATGAGTGTCGTTCTACATTTGGTAAACCATGATTAGGTCACCCCGCAAACGGCGATAACGTCCATTGAGAATGCCAAGCATCCTGACGTGCTGTTAGTATGGCAAAAGGCGCAGCCCCTTGACGTTTTTGGTCGGCCCAGCTTGTGGAATCTCCAAGACCGCGTGATCACGCTTCAGCGATGGGTGCCATGCTTGGATTTGCATATTCAACTTGTGGGCGTATATAATGGGGACGTATTTGGTGGAAAATCGACGCTTTCTATTGCCCAAAAGTTCACTGTAAAGCCCCCCCCCCAGTTGGATTCCCTTTTTTGATGTACCTATGGACTGCTCCTAGCAGCCGAGATTTTCCTGGACCAAGACACCGAGATCTTATTGGAGAGAACAGTGTTGCAGATTCTGATTCCCCAGCTTATGCGTGAACCACTCGGTATCTTAAATTAAGCACTCAACATTTAGCCACATTGAAGAAAAGGCAATTTTGGACCGACCATCTATAAATCTTGTCAAGGTCGGTTTGAAACTGGATACGGTCTTATGGAGCTCTAATCCTTCGCGGAAGTTTGATGTCATCGGCGTAGGTTAAACAGTTTGACGCAGTTTGACTCACTAGAACGTTTATGAAGACCAATAATAGACGGGGCCCCAATGCCGGACCCAGTGGCACTCGGCTTTCGACGTGAATTTGGTCTGACATGGATTCACATACGCTAACCTCCAGACGCCTGTGTGAGACAAAATTTCGGAACCACCCGAGGAGATAGGGTCCCCAATGCCACATGCTTGAACTTTGGCGAGAAAGTTACGATGGTGCAACCAGTCTAATGCCTTAGATAAATCAAAGTATGCCACATCAACTCTTGCACCAGCGTCCACAGTTTCGGTTCAGCTGTCTAGTGCTAACAATAGGTTAGTTGTGCACGATCGATTCTGGCGGAAGCCGTGTTGTTGCTTAGCAACGTAACGAAAGCCTTCCAGATAAGACATGAGTGCGTCGACAATGATATCCCACATACCTTTTGAAATCACTGGCAGTGGAGTCACTGGTCGAAAATTAGCTGGATCGCAACGACTACCCACTTTGTAAATGAGAGTGGTATTTTCGTGTTTCCGCATAACAGGAATGTGCTGCTCGTCAAGGCAGTGCTGGAGCAGTCTCGCCAAAATTGCAGCCAAGTTAGTAGCCGCCACAGCAAACGTCTTTGGGCGCATGTCGTCAATTTCTTGACAGGCATGCAATCGCAAGGATAACAGCTTTTTCATCACGATGTCTGCCGTAACATTTATATAAGTCCTGGTGCGGGCACTATAGATTCCAATGATTCAGGAGACCATGGTATGCAACGAGACTTTCGGTGCATATGGTTGTTGCAGAAAAGCCGACGCTTCTTTAGCAGTCCGACTTAGATCATCCGCCGTTTGAAGAGGGGGAAATCCACTTTTCACATAGCGGAGGCTGTTCACATGATTGTACAGAAGTTTAGAATTTGCAATTAATTGCTCGGCTAAGGCATGTTGATAAGTTACTTTGCCCTCGCGCACTAGTTGGGTACAGTGGTTACGGTGGACAACGTATGCCTTCCAGGTACTCGGACTCGGATCGGTTTTGTGGGTATACCAGCTGCGCTTTACGCGATGCGTTTATGTGTCCTACTCCGTAAAGACGATGGCATGTTTCTCGAACTGATAGTATTGGCTTTCAATGCTCCATTAAGCAGGTTGTTAAACTTACGAAACTTTCCCAGGCCATATCGAGTTTATCCTCGGTTAGCAAACTCCAGTCAGTCGCTTCAACCTGTCGCTTAAAGGTGTCTTAACTGGTTACAGTTTGCGTTGTTTGAGTTCGGTCCTCGGGATATGCGACATAGCAAGCGTAGACGAAATGCAAAGTCGAACGATCACTGCGCCCTACAGGAGCATCGAGTATCACTGCCTTGACCATCAGTTCTTCAATGCTTAATATTCGGTCCAATATGAATGGCCTAGTATTTCCCCTGAATCTGTTGGGCGAAGTGACGTGGCTATAAAGCGAAAAAGCTGAGACAAGATCTTGCAGGTCTGCTTAGTATTGCTCTCCTAGTGTGGTCTGGGATTCTAGAGCATGTAAGTTGAAGTCACCAGCGACTAGAACCGGGAATATATTTCCTGTTGATCACCTGCCACAATGCAGCCACCAAGTTGTAGTCCATCTCAGGTGTAGACCATGGTTGTCGCTAAACAACAACCAATAGGCCAAGATCGTTTCCTCTCAGCAGGAAACTGCAACAAAGGAAGTCAGGTATACCGGTTTCCGAATCGTGTATGGGTTTGCATTACAGATAGTTACGAAAGTAGAGCGCTACCCTCAGCCTCAAGCGCGTCAACAGCATGTTTAGGCCAGGGAAGCAAGGATTGTATAGCATATTCCACATAATTCCTAACGTAGGCGTTCGGCATTTGTGAAACATTGATTCACCTTCCTGAATACATTCCCTTTGGCGGTCAAAGTACTGACTGGCTCTTTGTGATCCCTGAACAGCCCGTTTCGAGCAGCCAAGATCAACTTGCTTAATTAACTCGAGGTCGCTTTCTTGTGAAGCTCATTGCAACTGTTGAGCCCCAGTGCGATATGCAAGGGTTCGCTGAGGGCGTATGCTCAAAACTTTATACTCGCACTGTTGAACTGGAGCCAGTTCTCGGGTAACCATGTATAGACACTGTCGGAACCTCTATGGAGAGCTGTGCGATCGTCCAATGGCTTGATGCTGTCCTGGAATATTAAGGGGTCGACTTGAGTACACTCTTAAAATCGTTGATGGTGACTAATAATAGTAGTGGTCCCAGTACTGATCCTTGGGGGGCAACATGCTGCTCTTCAATTAGATGAGAAATGATGCTGCAGATTCCGACATTCAGGTAACATTTAATGAGGATGTTGCTTATTCAAAGAAGGATAGAGTCATCGATTCCCTAACATCGGAGCTTGTGAAGGAGCATGATGCGCTTGAGGCGATCGACTGCTTTTGCTAAGGCCAGCTAAATGCAATTGGCTCCAATTCCGACATCGACTGATTCCGTCTAGCTTGTTCTAGCTAGCAGTAAAGGAATAAATAAATAAACTTTATTCTCGACAACGCGAGGCACACTTTTACAGGCATGGTCAGGTTAAGCTACCATGGTGCGATCAAAAATGTATAAAAATACATGTTTGGTGTGATAGTAAATGTGTGTATTGGTGTATATACGTATGCAGTTGTGTATGAATGTAGCTGTGTAGCGTGTGTTTGTGAATGTGCCGCAGCATTTCTGACTGTTTGTAATCGTCAGGAATGTGAGAATAAGCGATTGATGTCCGTGGGTTGGATAGCATTTTCCGGATATCCACGGGGCAGTGACTTTAGTTTGTGGCGAGTCACATTCGCCACGTCGCAGTGTTGATAAGCAGACATTTGTGGCTTTTTATAGGGAGAACGCCTGCCAGGCGAAAACCCACCACGTCCTAGAACACTGCCGTCGAACTATTTGCTGGAACGGGATAAACACGAACACGCTTCGAACGTCACCCTATGAATCTGACCATAATCTCTGTCTACGCACCAACCCCATCCTCAGTGGAAAGGGAATAGACGAATTTTACGGTACTCT